GGGGGTGACGCTGGTGTCCCGTTCTGGGGTTGGCAGAGCCCGGGGGTGACGCTGGTGTCCCGTTCTGGGGTTGGCAGAGCCCGGGGGTGACGCTGGTGTCCCGTTCTGGGGCTGGCAGAGTCTGGGGGTGACGCTGATGTCCCGTTCTGGGGCTGGCAGAGTCTGGGGGTGGCGTTGGTGTCCCGTTCTGGGGTTGCCAGAGTCTGGGGGTGACGCTGATGTCCCGTTCTGGGGTTGCCAGAGTCTGGGGGTGACGCTGATGTCCCGTTCTGGGGCTGGCAGAGTCTGGGGGTGACGCTGATGTCCCCTTCTCGTCCCCAGTGTCTCAGCCCCAGTGTCACCCACACATTGGCCAAAGGGGTTCCAGTCTCGGAGCCTTCATCCTCCTCATCCTCCTCATCCTTCTCCTCAACTTTCCCAGCCCCCGGCGCTCTCTCTGTCCTCCGTGGGGACCTGGGTGATGCTGGGAGGTGGTTTTGGGGTGCTCTGACCCTCCTCCTCCTCTTCCTSCCACCGCAGCTGCAGGAGCTCGTGTACCTGCAGGTGAGATTGGCCGAGTGCCACATGACCACCACCCTCATCAACACCTCCTGCAGCGGTAAGAGAACCCCCCTCAAAAAACCCCCCCTGGGGACCCCCTTCCCACACTCCTGGGGACCCCCAGCCCCCCCCTTCAGAATTCCAGCACTCCCTTCCCACTCTCTGAGGACCCTCAACCCACCCTTCCCACCTTCCTGGGGACCCCCAGCCCCCCCGAGTGACCTGTGCCAGGTAGGGGTGTCACCCCGAGACCTGGGGTGGCACGTGGGGGACCCAAACCTGTCCCCCGTGCGCTTCCCCCAAGCCGAGAAGCTCCAACTGCAGAGGCAGCTGGACCAGACCACCTTATCCAAGAAAAGCCTGGAAGAAACCGGCCAGAAAACCGAGGCCATGCTGGCCAAAGCCACCCAGGAGAGGGACAGGTGCCAGCAGGACCTGCAGAGCGCCAGGACCGAGGGCGACTTAAGCCGCACAGAGCTGGGGCTGCAGAGACACGAGTGCCGCTCCCTCAAGGACGACATCAGCGACAAACTCCAGAGGGTGACGGAGCTGGCCAAGCTCTCCCGGTGCGGGGAGGCCGAGGATGAGCTGAGGCAGATCCGGGATCGCACGGAGGGGCTTTTCCGATGGCAGCAGGATCGGGATTCCCGCTACGTCCGGAAAAACGCCTGCGAGCTGAGCGTGCAGCAGTGCCACATCAACTGCTCCAGGGAGATGCAGGAGCTGGAGAAGAGGATCCAGGCGCTGGAAAAGCGGGAGAAGGATGGGAAGGAGGAGAGGGCGAGGCTGGARGCAAACAAAGAGAAGCTCGGGAAGGAGCTGGAGGAGGCGAGGAGGGCGGCGGCGGTGCAGGCGGAGTCACTGAGGGAGCAGCTCCGGCTCTGCATGGGCGCCCAGGTGAGGAGTGGGGACTGCCATGGGAACATGGGGTGTCACTGCTGGCTTGGCACGGCCACCTCTGCACCGGGAYTTTCCTCCCTGACTCCGGGACTTTCTTGGTCCGGGGATTTTCCTGCTGGGCGGTGCCACCACTGACCAGTGCCTGACCCTGAACACTGCCACCAGTGACTGGTGCCACCCCCGCCCAGTGTCCCCACTGACCACTGCCCCCCCAGATGCCCCATCTGGACCGGCCGAACTTGCAGGTGTCAGGCAGCGCCGGCCGCTCGGGCTCCTTCCCTGGCACGGGCTCCTTCCTGGACTTCCTGAGGAACCCAGCGACCTTGAGCACCATGGGTGAGTCCCTGGCGGGATTGGGGGACTCTTTGTGGGCTCACCGTGTCCCCCGGGTGCCCATCCCATCCCATCCAATCCCATCCCATCCCATCCCATCCCACCAGGGAAGAAGAACCTGGAGGAGCTCCAGCGGATGCTGCAGATGATGGAGCAGTACACGGCCACCCTGAAGAACTCCAGGTGAGGGGACAGGGGTGACATGGGACACCCCTTGCTGGGGCTGGCGGGGTCCTAGGGGTGCCAGGGACCTGATTCCGCTTTCCCACAGCGGATAACGCCGGAGCAGCCCTTGGAAAAGCAGGAGCCGCCCAGGAAGTGCTTCCCGCACGGATGGCAAACCCCGCCCGAGGGCCACCCTCCCTTCGTCCCCGTGTCCCTAACCCCCACCCCGCGTGGATCCATCTCCCCTCAGATGGATCCCCGCGTTTGGCTGGAGCAGAACAGCCGGCCCCGAGTTCGGGCACAACTCGCTGCACGTGTGGATGGAAATCCGTGGAAAGATGGGGATGGGGAGCGGGATGGGGAGCGGGATGGGGAGCGGCAATCCCGTCCCGGCTCCGTACGGGGGTGGGAAATGCCCGGGGACGAGGCACCGGGCTGTCCTTGTCGCCCCACGTCCCCGCGGAGCGGGGATTTATTCCCGGCCGTCACTTCGGGATTTACGGCCGCGCTTCCTGTGGAAAATCCTTTTCCTGTCCCGCCGGCTCTGCCCGCACGCCAAGCGCTCCCTGCCAGCGCCTCGGCGCCACCAAGGGCTCTCGGAGTGTCGCCTGTCCCCTCCCGGTCCCCTGCGGCATCCCAGCCGTGTCCCCGCGCCGTGTCCATCCCGGGAAAACGGCACTGCCAGAGGATTTGCCGGAGTTCCCCTGTGGGTAATCTCGGAGCTCCAGGCGGCGGGTGGCACAGGGCCGTCCCCATGGAGCGGCCACTTCTGGGGTGGCAGAGCCCCAGCAAGGCCTGGGAGGACCGGGAATTGCACGGATTGGGATGGAATTCCATGGATTGGGATGGATCCCGGGGGTCCCAAACCCCCCACGCTGCATCCCTGGGATTTGGGAAATAGGAATGGAGCCCCTCCATGTCACGCTGGGAATGGGGACACCCCAAGGGGTGGCATCCCCCTTCCAGCCACTTCAGCTCCTTGTTTGCCCCCCTGGCCAGGAAATGGGGCCTCTCCCAGGGCATTTCCCCACATCTCGGGCTGGGAACCGTTTCCAAACCCGGCCACCAGGGAGGGGACAGACACCAAAGCCACCAAAGGCACCACGGTTTAATCCCGGTGACACCACGACGGTGGGGGGGACCCTCCAGAGCCCCGCTCACTTTCCAACGCAAAAGTCCCGGAAAATTATGTCCAGGACGTCCTCGGCGCCCACGTGCCCGGTGATCCTGCCCAGCTCCCGCCGCGCCAGCCGCAGCTGCTCCGCTGCCACCGCCACGTCCCCGCTGTCCCCGCGGCCGAACCGTGCCAGCGCCGCCGCGCAGGCCCCCAGGTGGCGGCTGTGCCGGCTCTGCGTCAGGCTGGGCGACCCCGAAAGGGGGTCCCCGCACCTGGAAAAGGGGGATCAGCCAGGCTGGAGCGCACCAGAAACCAGGACCAAGGGTTGGGATGGCCCCCCGGACTCACAGCCGCGCCAGCTGCTGCGTCAGCAGCTCCAGGAGATGCTCCAGCCCCTCGCCCGTCTTGCAGGACAGGAGGGTGGCCGGGGGCTCAGGGGGTCCCTGGGCACAGGTGGCACYCAAGGACGCCCCGTCCCCCCCAAGCAGGTCGGCCTTGTTGAGCACCAACACGCAGGGGGTGCCCGGGGGGGGCTCCAGGGCAGCCAGCGCAGCCCCCAGGGCCATCGGGGTGGGTGACACGGAGGTGGCATCCAGCACGGCCAGCACCAGGTCAGCATGGCACAGTCTGGGGACACACAACACTGTCACTCCCCGCCCTGGGCTGCGAGGACACCCCAAAACCCCCCCAAAACTCACCGGTCCCGCGCTCGGGTCACTCCCTCCTGCTCCACGGGGTCGGTGGCTTCGCGCAGCCCCGCGGTGTCACTGAGCACCAGYGGGTACCCCCCGATGTCCAGGGCCACCTCCAGCACGTCCCGTGTGGTGCCCGCTGTGGGTGACACGATGGCGGCCGGGCGCYGACCTGGGGACACAGTGGGGATGATTCCCTGTGGAACTCTGGGAATTTTGGGAGCGTTATCCCGGTCCCCCCGWGCCCCACTCACAGAGGAGGTTGAGCAGGCTGCTCTTGCCCACGTTGGGGGGCCCGGCAATGACAGCTCGGACCCCCCCCCTCAGCAGCTCTCCCCGGCGCCCGTCCCTCAGGTGGCCTCGGATCTCCTGCTCCAGCGCCCGCACGGTGACATCCACTGYGGGGACACGGCCTGAGGTCACGCCCGGCTGGGAACGGCCCGTCCTGACCCCCAGATGTGGCACAAAACCACCGGGAGAGGCCCCGTGTCCCAGCCAGGAGCTGGAAAAAGCCACCCCGGGTGTCCCCTTTGGGGTGTCCCCATTTCCAGGGTGACACCGGGCTCGGCAGCTTTGTGGGGACAGGGACGTGGCAGAGGGGACAGCAAGGTGTCCCCACCCTCACCCTGGGACAAAACCTCTTCCTCCACGTTGTCATCCTCGCTGAAGTCGATATAGGCCTCGAGGTGGGCGAGCGCCTGGAGCGGGGCTGGCGATCAGCGGGGACATCCCGGGGTCGGGTCCCCGCGGCGGTGGCCCCAGAGGGCGGGTCCCACCTGGGTGAGGCTGTGGCTCCAGCGCTCGTAGAGCCGGCCCAGCTCCCCCTGCAGCTGCCGGAGCGCCTGGCGCCGCTGCGCCTCCGTCTCGGCCCGGATCAGGTCCCCCAGGCCCTCGGCCGCCGTCAGGTCCAGCTTCCCCCGGCGAAACGCGCGGCGCGTGAACTCACCCGGCTCGGCCGGACGCAGCCCCGGCAGGCGGCCTGGGGACAGCGGGGACACCCGGGAGACCCCACTGACATCCCAATGAGATCCCATTGACATCCCGGGAGATCCCAGTGAGATCCCAATGAGATCCCAATGAGATCCCATTGACATTCCGGGAGATCCCAGTGAGATCCCATTGACATCCCAGGGAGATCCCAGTGACATCCCAGTGACATCCCGGGAGATCCCATTGACATCCCAGGGAGATCCCATTGACATCCCAGGGAGATCCCAGTGACATCCCAGTGACATCCCGGGAGATCCCAGGGAGATCCCATTGACATCCCAGTGACATCCCAGTGACATCCCAATGAGATCCCATTGACATCCCAGGGAGACCCCGGCAGCTCCAGGAGCATCCCAGGGGGAAAAGGGATGGGGGAAAGCTCCCCAAGTACCCAAACCATCCTGAGGAGCAGGATGTGACAGAAAAGGCGCAGGATGGGATGGGAAAAGGGGCAGGAGGGGATGAGGGGGCTCACCCAGTGCCTGCAGCACCCCACTGACCACGGCGGGCCCCCCGTGCACATGCAGCTCGGCACAGTCCTCCCCGGTGAAGCTGCGGGGCCCTGCAGGGACACGGGGCTGGGGTGTGCATCCGGCACCTCCCACCCAGCTCCTCCCCACTTAGACACTAAAAGCGGTTTTTAGGAGCTTCAGGAGAGACTTTCCCCAGCAGCAGCTCCATGGGATTGGTGCAGAAAGGGCAGTGGTGACCCCAATCCCAAAAGGACCTCGGCGCTGGGGCCACGGAAGGGGCTGAGCCCTGCATGTCAAAGCCCTCAAGACCCCCATGAGCCCCCATAACCAAGCACCCAGACCCCCCCAGACCCCAATCTGCGCCCCCCACCTGGGAACCAGACCACGAGGCCGCGGTCCAGGGTCTCGGCGGTGTCGGGGTCACGGATGCGCCGCAGGGTCAGGACCCGCGCCGGGGGCAGCTCGGGGGTCCCGGTGAGGCTCTGCAGGGCCCCCCGACTGCCCGGACCGCTGGCGCGGATCACGGCGACCCCGCAGCGCCCGGGGGCCGAGGACAGGGCGAAGATGGTGTCACCTCCCCCCGCGGCCACCGCGGAGCTCAGGGGGCGCGCCCACCTGGGGGATGGGCAGGGTGGGGTTCCCATCTGCACCCCCGAGTGGGGTGGAGAGGGGACAAGGTGGKTCAGCCCCATCTGCACCCAGGGACCCCTCCCCAGGGGCATCCCGTTCTCAGATATTCCCCTTSCCAGGTACACTCCTCCTCCCCAGGCTGCACCTCTCCTTTCACAGGTACTCCCGTCCCCAGGTGCGACCCCTCCCCACGTGCACCCCGCCCCACATACCCACCACATCCCACGGCCCCCAAATCTCCCGGCTCACCTCTTCTCGTGCCCCCCTCCCCAGAACAGCCCCGCTCCGGGGGTGCCCCGCGTCCCCGTGTCCCC